ATGATATGAAAGAACCAGGCCTAAGTAACTAGAAATTAAAGAAATTAAACAAGAAATTCCCAAAAGTGAAGGAATTTCTCGTCCCCAAAAACGTGCCCCTAATGCAGGGAGCATCATTAAACCTAAGGCCATCAGTGTGCCCATTGCGTGAAGCGCTGCAACCATGTTTGCAACAACCAGGAGAACAAAGATCAGATGGTAAAAGCTTCCTCGTCCATTGATGCTGTGCATAAAACCTGAATCAAAGCATTCGAGAATCAGAGGGCGATAAATAAGCGCTAAAATGACCAAGGATACGGTTGCAACACTGGAAACAAGGAGAAGAGACATAGAGTTGATGGCCAAAATAGATCCTAAGAGGATGTGCATGAGATCGACTTTGGTTCCTTTTAGGGAAATGATCACAACCCCTAATGCCAGGGCCACAAGATAAAAACCTACGAAAGTGGCATCTTCTTTTAGAAGGGTAGATCTTGAAGTTGCCCCTGCAAGAAGAGCAACCGTGAGGCCTGCAATAAAACCTCCTAAGCTCATTGCAGGTAAAGAAAGTCCTGCAATTGCATATCCTATAGCAACACCTGGTAAGGCTGAATGAGACAGTGCGTCACCCATTAGGCTCATTCGGCGCAAAACAAGGATGACACCAACACCCGTGCACCCAAATGAAAGGGCAATACACGCAACAAGGGCCCTTTTCATAAAGAGGTATTGTGTAAAAGGTTCAATCAGGAGCTCAAACATTGTGATTTGTCCCTTCCATTAAAGCAGAACGAGCGCACGTCATATTTTTTGGTGTGAGAACAGAATCTGTTCCACCTTGGCGAACAAAGCTACGGCATAAAAGAAGAGTATCAGGAAAGTATTCTTGAATTAAAGGAATATCATGAAGAACGGCAACAACGGTACGACCTTGTTTATGCCATTCTAAAATGATTTTCATTAAATCATCTCGGGTATGAGTATCTACGGCGGCAAAAGGTTCATCTAGTAAAATTAAGGGAGTGTCTTGGACGATTCCTCGGGCAAAGAGTGTGCGTTGGCGTTGACCACCAGAAAGTTCATGAAATAGGTGTTGTCGATATTTACTTAAGCCAACTTTTTCTAGGGCTTCATCTACTTTATGACAATCTTGGGCATTTAGACTTTTCCAAAACCCCTTACGCGCAAACAATCCACAAGAAACAACATCTTCAACAGTAATGGGCACGCTGTCGTTAACACCACTAATTTGTGGAAGATATGTAATGTCTTTATGTTTGTTGATGTGATGAAAGCGACAAGAGCCATTGTTTGGTTTTAAAATTCCCGTTGCAACTTTTAAGAAGGTGCTTTTGCCTCCTCCGTTAGGGCCTGCAATGGCGAGAAGACTTTGGCTTTTTATATGGCATGAGATATTGGATAAAGCATGTGTGCGTGGATAAGCGACCGTGATATTTGAAAAAGTTGCTAAAATATTTCTAGACATATTTATAGTGCCCACCACACGAGCAGCCATAAAATGGAACAAAGAATAAACGCAAAAACAATCCGTTCTAGGATGCCTGCATGAAGACCAAGCATTTAAAAACTTTCTTATAAAACTTAAAAAAGTGATCCCCTATCTATATCATTGTCTGTCACAGATGGAAAACATCTTGTCAAAGCTTTAAGACTGTTTTAAATAGAGACATCCCATGCCGGATTAGCTCAGTTGGTAGAGCAACTGATTTGTAATCAGTGGGTCGGGAGTTCGAGTCTCTCATCCGGCACCATGCAAAATCCAGAATCAACAATCGATCATTAAACTTT